TGTGGTGTGTGGTATATATTGGGTGTGTTTGTGGTGTGTGGTGTATGCAATGTGTGTGTATGTGGTGTGTGTGGTATATATTTGGCGTGTGTGTGGTGAGTGGTGCATGTAAGATGTGTGGTGTAAGTGATGTGTGTGTGGGAAGGGGCTGCGGGATGATGGGTGCAGTGTTATATACACCACACACCACACAACACACACCCAATATATATCAGACACACCACATACACATGTCATATACACTACACATTTTACATATACCACACGCCACACACACCACATACCACACACCACACATACACATCATATACACCAAACATGCCACACACACTCCCAATATATACCACACACACAGCACATATAAACCACATATACACACACCACATACACACATATTACGTACACATGTTACATACACCACACATGCCACACACACCCCCAATATACACCATACCCACCACATACTACACATACTACATAGCATACATAACATGCCACACATACACCCAATATACATCACACACACCACATACCACACCACACACACATACATCACATGTACCACATGCCACACACACACCCAATATGTACCATACATACCACATACCCAGTATACACCACACACACCACATACACATATATGACATACACCAGCCACATTATACACAGCACACACAGCACATACACTTCCTTCCTATATACACAACATATACCCCACACATACACACACATCACCTACACCACTCACATACCTAATGTACACTACACACACCCTACACCATACATGACACACACCACACACATTACACACACACATACAACACTCATACCACACACCCACTGAGCCCCCCCCACATAATCACACACCCACACTCTACACACATACTATACATACAAACCACACACACATCACACACACATATCACATATACCCTACACCACACACATACCCTCTCACACACATACCACACCACACCCACATACCACACACATCACACATACATTTTTAATTCTTTGGCAATCCTGCTCCTACCTGAGGACATGTCGTGGTTGATATGCTCCCATGACCAGCTCCTCAGACAAAAGAATCACTTTCATCTTTACCGGCCACTTGGTTGTAGGAATGCAGTGGTGTCTGCCACAGGTCAGGAAAGCTGAAGCATGAGATTGATTTCCACAGTGACTCTTATGCCAGGAGGCAGATGGATTCATAAAATCTCAAGGTTTCTTTGTATTTGAATAAAGATCATGGATTTTATCACTTTGTTGAGTTCCAGAAACAGAGTCCAAGTCATATTCCTGTGCTCTGTATTAGGGGAATTAGCTGGAATAAACCAGTATATGACTGGTTAGTATCATTTGTTCTAAGACTCCTTGTGCACCTACTGGGTATTCCAGGAACAGTCAAACGAAGGCACTGTGGTCTTTCTCGTATATTCATGTGAAGGATGGGATCCAATGTGGATTTTAAAATCCACAGCTGTAGGCATAAATGAATCTGTGGAATGGGTTCAGCCATGCTAGCACATGGGAGCTTGGGCCTTCTTCTGTGCCTGGTTTGTCTGTTGACCACGCTCATTTCAAAACAAAATGTTCGCTGCAAAACAAAAGGGCAAATTGGAGTCAACCTGGAAAATACTTATGGCTGTCTTTTATTTTAGCCTCCATTGAGGAAGAAAGAACTTCTGAAAGTTTTTATCATCCAAACATGCCATTTAGAAGAACTGGTATATTAGTTTGCTAGGGCTTCCAGCCCAAAGTACCACAGAATGGGTGGCTGAAACAACTGTTTATTTACTCACAGCTCGGGAGGCTGGAAGGCTGAGATCAAGGTGTCAGCAGGGCAGGTTCACCTGAGGCCTGTCTCCTTGGCTTGCAAATGGTGTCTTCTACATGTCTTTTGTTGGGTGCATGTCTGTGTCCAAATCTCCTCTTCTTATGAGAACACCAATTATGTTGGATTAAAACTCACACTAAAGACCTCATTTATGTAGTCTCAGCACTTTGGGAGGCTGAGGTGGGTGGATCACTTGAGATCAGGAGTTCCAGAGCAACCTGGTCAACATGGTAAGACCCTGTCTCTATTAAAAATACAAAAATTTAGCTGGGTGAGGTGGTGGGTGCCTGTAATCCCAGCTACTCTGGAGGCTGAGGCATGAGAATTGCTTGAATCCAGGAGGCAGAGGCTGCAGTGAACCAAGATCACACAACTGCACTCCAGCCTGGGTGACGGAGCGAGACTCCATCTCAAAAACAAAAAGACCTCATTTTAACTTTATCCCTTTAAAGACCTTACCTCCAAATACAGTCACATTTTGAGGCTAGGACTTCCACAAGTATGTGGAGGTGGGTACAACTTAGTCCATAACAGCCCATGACTTATTCCTCCTACAATTTTGTTAAAGACCCTTTTTTTATCAAAAGAAAAGAAGCTTTAAATTAGACAAAGAGGCATCCTCTGCCATAAAATACCAAGAAGCCACTTCCTGCCAAAGTCATTATTTCCCAAAGGAGTTTCCCAGACACCTCCCTTGGACTTAATTAAGAGCAGCAAGTCTGTGTGTCTACCTTTCACGGTGTGGCCCTGGACTGAGTGTAATTGTGCTGTCTTATTTAGCTCAACAAAGAGCAGTTGCCCATTAAATTTTATTATACTTCATAGAATGAATAGGTTAGGTGGAAGTTGATGGTGGATTATTTGTGGAATGGTAGAAAGTGGTTTTTAAGTTACAGGCAAATTGTGTGTCTTATGGGTCTGACATGATCACCAAGCCTCCCAGCCTGTTCCAGGCGTATGGACCTGGACTCCTTCCCAGCAGATTGGATGGGAAATTTCCCGTTAACCCAGCCCTGCTGCTAGTGCTCCAAATGCTTTGGGAATTCCCTGAAAGCCCTGAAGCAGAATAACTTACATCCAGAAAATTCTTAAACTTTAGCTTCTACACAGTACCGGTCATTGTGCAGAACCAAATCAAGTGAAGAATGAGGGATCAGACTGAGTTATTCTGCAATCGTCAAAAAGGAGATTCCATTGAGAGAGTCATCACATTTGTTTTCATGTACAGTTTAGAGTCTGCCTCTGAAGATAATTCCAAAAGATGGTTTGGAAAAAACTGTGAACAATGTCAATCAATGGGCCTGCAGGAATTGTGTAACCTCTGAAAGCCATAGCGCTCACTTTTTTTACAGTGTTCATTTTTTGTGTTTTTTTGGAGACAGAGTCCCGGTCTCTTGCCCAGGCTGGAGAGCAGTGGCATGATCTCAGCTCATTGCAACATCTGCCTCCTAGGTTCAAGTGATTCTCTCACCTCAGCCTCCAGCCTCCTGAGTAGATGGGACTACAGTGCCCGCCACCATGCCTGGCTAATTGTATTTTTAGTAGAGACGAGGTTTCACTATATTGGCCAGGTGAGTCTTGAATACCTGACCTTGTGATCCGCCTGCCTTGGTCTTCCAAAGGGCTGGGATTGCAGACGTGAGCCAACCCACCCAACCATGGTATTCATTTTTTAAAAATTAGCTTTAATTCTTTTCCCCTTTGCAAATAAAGAGTAGCACCCCTCCTCATTTCTTATTGTCCAGTGCACTCTGCCAAGCTCTTTTGCATTTTGAATCTTTGCACCTGCTTTCTGCCGAGAAGACTGACCCTCTGGCCCTCTGGTGGCTGGCTTCTCATAATCATCCCTATCTCAGATCACATGCTGTGCTTTGATGAGGACTTCCCTGGTCCTCTTCAAAGCAGACCACCCTCAGCCTCCACTCCCTTCCTCTTCCCTTGTGTATT